GATAACTGCTCCTCGCACAGTTTATACAAAGTGAAGAACTTCCTGGCAAGGGTAATATTGTCGGTGAAACCACAACTTGCGAGCTTCACACGGATAATGATCTGTCTGTCCGGCACCATCATCGCAACTGTACGGAACTGAATCTTSAGATTCTCAGGCAGTTCTTGTCTTCCTGCGTAYCCTGGATTCATGGTCAAGAAGATACCRAACTCAGGGTTCATATCGACAACATCGCCATCGGAGAAGATGAACTGCTTCTTTCGTTCTTTYTTGCAMGTGAGAATGATGTAGATTTGTTGCGCWGCGACCGACAGGACGGGAAGGTCGATACGGTTGAACTCGTCAAAGCATCCCCAGCTGCCAGACTGCGCAAGWCCTGCGTARTGAAGTAMCAAAAATAAATAATACGCGAGGATATGATAGTGTCAATAGTGTTACGTAAGGAATGCGTAAGGATGCTAAAAGACTATGTGTAAGACTGCAGGGAAAGAATCCCCTTATAGATCTAATAACGTAACGTAAGATCTACGTAATGATGCAAAAATGTCACGGTAGAGCACCTATAGGACACGAAATATTTACGCAAGGATACGTAAAGTAAAATACCAAAATATTACGTAAGACTATCAAGATACAAAAACATTACGCAAGGTTGACGTAACTTAAAGGATATAATGTTGTTACGCAAGATCTACGTTAGAACGCAAAAAGCTTGCGCAAACCAATTTAAGAGACTCCGAAGTCAGACAGATGGGAGTAAAAGTCTTTTGTACAAGTTTGAATCCTGGTGAGGGTTACCTTTAAAAATTCGTCCCAGTCCTCTGTAGTCCATCTGATCAGAGCAGTTAAACACTACGACATATTTGCCTAAAGCTTTTCCCATGTCCTTTGTAGTTTCTGTTAATAAAATAAAAAAATACATTAAAGATGAACTAACAAATGTCCCTTTGTTTACATAATACATATAAACAAGACTATTTCCTTGGCTTGTTTTTGATAAATAAATAAATTTTGTTGTAATTCATTTTGTACAATGAAAAATCTGAGAATTAAGTAGTTGTCAAACCTGTTTTTCCGGTTCCCGCTGGGCCGGCAGGTGCGCCACCCATCGACATAAAAAGGGCTTGGGCAAGAGTGATGTAGCATCTGTCCGTGAGGGGAGTGATGACAAGTCTCTCAGTACATCCGAGGAACTCGTTTTGATATTCAAAGCTGACGTCGGTGATGTTAACGACACACTTGTCAGCGTCCTCGTTGAAGTAGAAGCGAATTTGCTTGAGCCATTCAAAGTCAGACGGAGTTCGGATATGCATACGGCACTAGAAATAAAGAAAATATTGAAAGATTCATTGCGAAAAAGATAAATTATCTACATGGATGGTTTGCGATATAATGGTGATCTACGCAAGATCTACGTAAGGATGCGAAAAGGTTATGATTTCTCGCGATTTGTTTACGTAAGAGTTATTTCATCCACATCGCTGGTTTGCGATATGTTGTTGATCCGTAATCTGGTTTACGTTACTTTAGTTAATCATCCAGATCCCTGCTTTTTGATATAATGCTTATACGTAAGATCTACGTAAGGATGCGGAAAGTCTATGATTTATTGCGTTTACTTGAAACTTAGCCTCCTCCGCAGGCGTCTCTTTTCTTTTTAAATTTGGGCTTCCTGTCTTCCTCAATATGACCGAGGACCCCGCTCGGCTAAGAGGATATCGAGGGAGCCCAAAAGGATAATAGGAAGTATTCCCTGCGGAGGAGTCTAACTTGTACTATAGGAAGAAGCTTTTTCTTACCAAATCATCAAAGATGTCTCTCTGATGGACGTGGATTGTAATCAAAGTCTCAAACTTTGTTCTCTCAACCTTGGTTAATTCCTTGGTTGTCTGTTCAATAAGGACGTGGAGGAGTTCCTGGAAAGCAGCGTTGGTTTGCTGCATGACTTTCTTGTCGTACTTTGCGTTGGTCAAAGCCTCGGTRGCATCCCTTGTCCAGATCATTTGGATACCAAGGAGACCAACCTGTCACCATAGAAACATGAGGTTACCATAATAACAAAACAAATAACAAAAATGACTGACTCAATTACCTGAGCTGGGAAAGTGTTTAGAAACTCCAAGAGGTTAAAGTTCGAGTCCTGGATRGCAATGTAAGCTTGTCGTATGACATTGTGTAGAGATGAACGGGATATATTGAGCAATGTGCCCAACCATATCTCGACATTACCCTGCGCCATGACTGGCTTCACAAGCTACGAGAAACAAGAGCAATAAAACATGTTAACATTTTCATTCGTCACATTACTATATACAAAGGGAAAATGGGAAGTTTTTGTATTATGGGAATAAATGCTATTAGAGGACAAAGGGAAAGAAAAGAAATGGATGGATGATTAGAAGAAGTCACTCACGCAAAAAGTGGGGAAAGGATAAAAGAAAATAATGGATGCATGGAAGGATGGTAGAGGAGAGAAAGAAATCGAGAAAGTAAAGAAGGAAAGAAGGAGGGTAAGAGAAAAGGATGGACTGGTAGGGGGAGGAAGAAAGGAAGATAGTGGACTAGGAACGAAGGGCAGAAAGGCAAGGATGGATGCAGGAAGGATAGAAGGAAGAGATAGATGGAAGGATGAACAGAATACAAAAGTTAACAAAAGAAGTGAAAGGAACGTGAAAAGGAATGAAAGAAAATATAGAATTACTGAAAAATGAAAATATGAAAAGAAAGTACAGAGAAAAGCACTAAAGAAAACAAATGAGAAGACAAGCAAATATAGCACATCTCACATACCTCAACTGTTTCACCTTCTGATGACACCACAGCCAGTATTTTGTCATAGTCTTTCTCGTGGAATTTAACGTTTTTAATATTGTCAAAGACATTCAGCAAATGAGCCTGGAAAAATATTCAATCATCTAAATACTTCTTATCAAATTAACAAATAAATACTTCTTATCAAATTGACAAATAAATACTTCTTATCAAATTGACAAATAAATACTTCTTATCAAATTGACAAATAAATACTTCTTATCAAATTGACAAATAAATTCATCATAAATTTATGATTACCTGTATGGTGTGAGAGTCACTTGCTTGGCCAAGAATTTCAAGAAGAACTGGATCAGACACAAAGAAGAATCGAGGAAATACCAGCCTCTTCTTTTCCAGGTACCTGAACAAATACCAACAAATATTGAATATAATATAAATGTAGAAATTCTTAGTATGGTATATGATTGTAAACTGATATTATTGTACTCTAAACATGGCGATGTAGCCAAAAGGGCAAAATGAAGTGTTGCGTGCAGAGTGGGCTATGACTACTTTAACATGTTTAACTTCATTTCTCCCTCCAACGAAACTGCGGGCAACCAAAAGCGGCTGCCACGGAGACTATCAAAACATACAAAAAAAAACACAAAGCTTTATTAACCTACCCTGTTAGCGACTTCTGGCAGAGTTCCAGCTGCTCCAGCAAGTGCGGCAATAGTTGACCCAACGTTTCATCTCCAACACAGCACTGGACAATGTTCGAGTTCTCGTGTGCACGTGTCATGATCTTGACCCACTGTTTATCGATGTTCTGGAACCTTTTAGCTTCCTGAGAACAAAAGTAAAAGATCAGAGGTCCACCCATAATTTCTGAAACCGCAAAACCTTTCTTGTACACGGCGTTTTCGTATTGAAAAGTTCAGTTTCAGGCACTCCACTTCTATCGTTTACAAAAATGTTCAGATGCGTGCGGATACTTATGGACTTCATACGTATTCGTAAGAAAATGATTTGCGCATRCAAAAATCTCCGGTAACATTACTGCCAAAAATCTTCTTGTCCACGCGTTTCCGTATTTGGAGCTTTCAAGCACTTTCACCCTTTTACAAAAATGTTCAAATACGTGCGTATACGTGCGGACTTCATCCGTATTCGTAAGAAAATGATTTGCGATTATAATAATCTCCGGCTAACGATGTGGCAACCTAAGTTTCTAACTCATAACAAGACGACTACAAACATTACGTAACCGGCACTGTTAAGATATGGACCGGTAAGCTTCATAAACTAAGACTGCAACCTTACCTTTGGTAGCTGTTTGGCAATGTCACCGCCAACAAACACGGCTTCAAGGTAGATCCASAGATTCTGTACTGTCATCCAGTTTTCGATGATGTCGGTCGTGTTGGAAAGTTTATGTACCCATGCTTGGATGTTTTTCTTGAACGGAGCATTGTACCTGGAAATTTACCATTACAATGCGTCATCCTCTTATAGAGATAATTATGTCTTCAACATAGTGAATTGATTGACAGCACTCAATCAATTATCAACAATTTCACATGAGTAGTAGGAAGGAAAACAAGTTCAAACTCAAAGCTTTCAAAAATGCTGCGTGAAACGTTTACACAATTTTGCTCCTCGTCGTTCTGAAAGTCGAAACGAAGTGCAAATAAAGTAAGTACGAGAACGCATTAAAAAAAACAAGAATTTGTTCTTCGTTTTTGTGGTTACTCTCGCCTTAAAGGGACACGGTCCAAAAGCATTCAATGTGGTCTTGTTTTAGATTTTTCATAAAATGAGGTGACTTCAAATATCCATTCGCAATCCGTCTCCATCCATCGGTTTAAAGGTCGAATCTTACAGTATCTCCATTCATATAGTATAAAGAGATAATAAAGAGTAAGTTTTTGCTTATATTGTGATGTGCTTTTTTCTCAAACATGAGCAAAAGCTCGAAAGGGATGCTGGTAGACCATGTCCCTTTAAGACAGATAACAACTTATTAGTAACCACTATGTTTTCCTGAAATTGCTGCAATCACTTAAAATGGCGTCGATACATAGTACTTATGACTCAATACAGAACCGCCGCCATGTTTTCCACTATCGCCTTCAACAAAATCTTATTTCACCTGTTGCTCATCAGTGATCCCAGAACCATCAAACTGTCCTCCAACAGCGACACGCTCTCTGATGTATTGTCACCTCGTAATAAAAGTTCTCCACGATTCTTGAAGTTTGCAAAGGTGAAATCTTTAGTGTTCCAATCAGCGATAACCATCTTGAGTTTGGCTTCGATGTCCTTCTCCTTCACCGCTGCTATACATACATCCTACATTGGATATCAAATATTATTGGACGAGTTGGAGTAAGATATGAGGAATAATCAAGGCTCACTGGCGGACCGAGCACTAGTTCACTAATTTCCATCATAAAACAAAATGGTTCATTTGTGTTCATTTTATGTGTGAGAATCGGAACAAGATCTTTGCTATTTTGTAGATGGTCAAGCATTGCATCGTATATTAAAACATTATTGGACGCAGTCGAGTAAGATATGAGTTGTGCTCGTGTGAGAATCAGAGCAAGGTCTTCGCTATTTTGTAGATGGTCAAGCATTTTTTCCTCGTATAGACTGGAAGAGTTGATTAGATTACAGAGTTTGTAAAGAACTCCACCAGGTGCAGTTAAAATCCGTGGAGTTAAATCTACTCCAGAAAATGAGTTATCTGGTACCTTTTTTAACTCCTCTTCTGGAGTTATATCAACTCCTTGAAAATAACAGTATGTCATGTTCAACCCTTACCTCAATGTCCTCCTTGTGCTTCAGTAGAGGCGCTTCCATGATATTTCTAAGAGAGAACGTCTCCGACTCGATATCAAAAGTGTGCCCGGTAAGGGCAGCGATCCTGTCCCAATGTCGAGCCTTCATWGCTTTATTAGCCATTAGTTCTAATAGTGGACAACTCTCATTAAAGTCATCGATTGTTTTCTNACCTGTTGCTCATCAGTGATCCCAGAACCATCAAACTGTCCTCCAACAGCGACACGCTCTCTGATGTATTGTCACCTCGTAATAAAAGTTCTCCACGATTCTTGAAGTTTGCAAAGGTGAAATCTTTAGTGTTCCAATCAGCGATAACCATCTTGAGTTTGGCTTCGATGTCCTTCTCCTTCACCGCTGCTATACATACATCCTACATTGGATATGAAATATTATTGGACGAGGTGGAGTAAGATATGAGTTGTGCTTATGTGAGAATCAAAGCAAGGTCTTCGCTATTTTGTAGATGCTCAAGCATTGCATCGGATATTAAAACATTATTGGACGCGGTCGAGTAAGATATGAGTTGTGCTCGTGTGAGAATCAGAGCAATGTCTTCGCTATTTTGTAGATGGTCAAGCATTTTTTCTTCGTATAAACTGGAAGAGTTGATTAGATTACAGAGTTTGTAAAGAACTCCACCAGGTGCAGTTCAAATCCGTGGAGTTAAATCTACTCCAGAAAAGGAGTTATCTGGTACCTTTTTTAATTCCTCTTCTGGAGTTATATCAACTCCTTGAAAATAACAGTATACCATGCGAGTATATACTCGCTATAATTGTACCAAAGAAAATCATATCAACCCTTACCTCAATGTCCTCCTTGTGCTTCAGTAGAGGCGCTTCCATGATATTTCTAAGAGAGAACGTCTCCGACTCGATATCAAAAGTGTGCCCGGTAAGGGCAGCGATCCTGTCCCAATGTCGAGCCTTCATTGCTTTATTAGCCATTAGTTCTAATAGTGGACAACTCTCATTAAAGTCATCGATTGTTTTCTTTAGATCTAAGAATGCTTGCCAGTCCTTCAAGGCACGAGGGAGTTTGCGACACCTGGAAATGAGAATAAGACCGTTGTTAGGGCTGCTCAAGGTAAACTGTAGTAGCATCCATGGTGCCAATGATAGCGATGACGAAGATGAAAAAAATAAAACACTAAGAAAACTCCCGATGATGATCAGATTTAATGATATTATCATAATAAAAGGGTTACTAAATACATTTGACGAATTTCGGCTTCCATGTCAATGTGGGCGGTACATGTATAGAATGTGACAAAATTCCTTTAATCGCGCGTGTAGTAGACCCACCTGTTCTGGAAGTCCAGTAATTCTTGATTGATCTTTTCGATATTAACATCCTGCCATAGGATGTCATAGTAGCCATTGACAGTGTCAATGACGTCATTGTACAGTCCATACAGCTTCTGCAGCAGGTTAAGTTCTCGTTTGATCTGCATCAGTTCTGGGTACTCGGTCACTGGCAGACCAAATAGCTCTTCTCCACCCGAATACGTGATGTATTTGCGCCATAACGTGTCGAAATGGTTCTGTTGTACAACAAAAAGTGCAGAACGATGAATTTTCACTTTACCTGGCATTAAACATTGATATCTTTATTAAGGTATCACCCCCTATTAGGCGARCATAAAAAAAGTCTCAAGCAACCATAAAAAAGTCCCAATTCTTTTATCGCCTTCTAACTTCCTGGGGCACAGAGGTTGTCCAAAGCTAGTGTATTAGGGCTCAGAGTCCTGGGTTCACTCTTAAAAACGTATGGAGTTATCCCTGGATTAACGCTAATCAGGCTTGGAACAGCCTAGGGCAGTGGCTTTTAAACCTTAAAAGGTTTCACTGAATAACCAAAGATAAAGTGAATCAACATCATTTCCTAGAAGACAGCACTAGTRTACTGYWAGGACGTTTTATCCTGTCTCAKTTGGGATCTGCGATCCCTGTCGAAACTCTTGATTACTTCAAACATAAGGTCAGATAGAATCTATTTAATACGGCCGCTGGTCGACCTGATGGGGTTCGAGCATTATGAAAACAAGTACCTGGAATATGATGAGTCTGTCGCTGGCTTCTCGTGGTGGGACATTTGGTACCATTGGACCAACCTATAGACGAAACAAGCTGACATTTTAGACCTGTCCGATCGAGATGGAACATAAAATACTATTCCATCTATTCTAAACATTGAAACAGRATGCCTAGAATGTCAACCTAGCATCCCGTAGTCCAATCATTCCAATTCACAAATGATGGCCCAAAAAAGGACGCACTATGTAGCTAAAATACAATAGTCCTCAAATGATTTTTTGAGGCGAATTTTATGTTCATTTTGATCCTAGAAAATAGCGCTAAAAAATTAACTTGTAAACTTTATTCAGTACACTTAGGTGAGCTTATTAAACGTCTTCTCAGTTATAAAATTATACTATATTTTTTTTGAAAATCGCCCAAATATTGCAGCAAAATCGCCGCAAAAATCGGGCCCGGCCGTTCACTTTGATTAAAAAGCAGCGTTAGCTTTCACTGAGATGGCATAGAGAGCCACAAAAAGACTATTGGGAACAAATCAATGCATTAATGAAATTTTCAATTTACTTAGAATACTTACATTRTGATAATCTTTTGTAAACTTGTCAACGTCCACAATGAACACCTTAACTTCATCAATTAAACCACCCTTGAAATTAGGCTGAATAGTGATTAGATGATCCTGGGACTCGATCTGAAGATAAACAAACAAACGTATCTTATAAACTGACACTGAGATGGGATGTCAATCATGTACAGCGTTTTCCACAAGGTTGTCATTGCGATACTTCCTATATTCTAGGATCAGAATGCTTCMTAATGCTCCGTAAAGCAATGATGTCAACTCATTATACGCCAAAACCACCCAAAACAAGACAAGATACAGTATTGCTTAAATTTGGAGGGGGAGGGGGGAGGAATCGGTTGTAATTTATTCAGGAAAATGTGGTCGGAGAGATTGAGCAACCTATTTGAATAACTGGAAACTTACCGCTAGGGCCTGGAGTTTCTGCCAGGAGTATCGCATGGTATCAACTCTTTCTGATTCTTCTCTAGCCACGGGTAGCTCATAACGTGACAGCATTTGATAAGATTCCTGAAAACACGAAAAATATTGTTAAAAAGTGCAAAAACAGTTTATGTTCAAGTGAAGTCTACGTTCTACTCGACTGTGAAACGCCGCGGATAGCAGATCAAGGAGGGAAAAAAATCAGAACGAAAAGAAGCAACGACACAAACGAAACGAAAAAAAAATTAAAACAAAACAAAAACAAAACACATGAAAAAAACCCGAAATGAAACAGCATGGTAAGTGTTCACACATCCTTGTTTTGTAGAGACAACATAAACATCACAATTACAGTACATTCACTGCGCAGTATCAACAATAACTACAATGATTGTACTGGACGAACCTCAATTGGACCCAAACACATGTCAATTTTGATTTCTTTCTCTCTAATTTCTTTCAAAGCATTCATGGCAAGTCTAATGTCGTCCAAGTCCTTGATTGGTCGACTCAATCTCTTGGTCATGTCCTCCAAGAAGGCGAATATTTCCTCCATCTCAGTACGGTATTTGATGTTACAGTTACGACCAAACGATAAACACCAAGCCTTCGTCTCGGCGCATAAAGAGGCTTTAAGCTTTTCTGAAAGAGAATATGAAAATAAAATAAGGAAAGAAGGACAAGAAAAAGGACTCATAGAGAGTTATATAATAGGATCATAAATACGATGAACGGAAAGTGACGTAATTACACAGGAAGCCCAGATATCACGGAACGTTACGAAGTTATTCGAAGAATATCGAATATGAATCGGCGAGAAAGCGAGTAATTACGAAGATATTCCAAATTACAGGCGCACACAATTACAAGGCGATAGCATAGTGGCTTGAGCCTTGTTTCGAGGCACTAGCCACAAAAAGCAACGTTAGTACCCAGACTAAGGACAAGGGTATTGATTATATTTCATTAAATACCTGTCACTAGTGCAATAGCTCCAACACTGTACGACTCAGGTTCCTGGACGATACTTTTTTCTAGTTCCTTGTAATGGAGAATCTGCGCCTCAAACTCTGACAATTTGGGGTCGCATTTCAGGAAATCCTGTATGGTCTGTTCTCGATCTCCTTTCCATATGATCTGATAATGACTGAAGATATCTAACGCTGTTAAAACTTCTTTCTTTTGTGAGTTGATGACAGTTGTCAGCATCGAGGCGAGTTTAGCAACCTGAGGAAATGCATCGATATATAAGTGGAAAATAAATATACATGTACCTTGGCTTCATATCTCAGTTTGTAGAGCACTTTACCGGCATCGGAAAAGTCATGGGTTCGATTCCCGTTAAAGGCCTAAACAATTTTCGGGCGATCCATTTATTATTATATTATAGCTCAATTCTAACGCGCGCGCTGATTGGCGGATTTCATGAGAAAAGCTATGGTTTATTTCGCCGGTAAACCAGCCTGCTGTCTTGAAAGACTATTGAGTCTAAATGGCTCTTTAATAATATGTGAGAAACGAAAGAGTGAAATAAAGAAATACATTTTCATTGCAATTCTATCCACATCAAGAAACTCACACAATTCAAATGAATCTCAGACTGTCCTATTTACTGGGGTACATCTTGATAATGATGAATAAAACATCAGCAGCTTTTTGATACGAATATTTAGTA